AGGACACCAGGAAACTCGATTACGCACACACGCACGCACACACACACACACACACACACACACACACACACACACACACACACACACACACACACACAAATGCAAATTGACAGCGCTGGAGCCGAGATTATTTGGATCAAGACAGCAGTAGAGTTGAATTAAAACAGGAGGATTTACAAGAAAATGGCACATGCCGTTGACCATTAAGGATTTTACAGACATTGATTCGTTTATTGATTGATTTATTAATGAATGCACTCTCATGCTAGGTTCTCCTAAGTAGTTAGGCAAAGTGACGTGCTTTCGAAATGCTGGCGGCCTGTCCCACACACACACACACACACACACACACACACACACACACACACACACACACACACACACACACACACACACACGAGCTCCTCCACGTGAATGTGGAGAAAAAGAAGAAAAGTAGGGAGGGAAAACAACTCTTCCACCCAAAAATAGCAAGCATGCGCACACACACATACACACGCGCACGCGCAGAGCGAATGTTTTGACAATATCGAGTAATTGGATGCTGATCAGGTGCCAGGCAAGTGGCAGCTAAGGATAGAAGAGGAAGGAGCGCAAGTGGAGACGATTAATATTGAGCAGGCTGTTATGTTACGAGGGAAAGAGTGGAAATGACGATGAGGGGAAGCTTTGGATTTTGACGCTGTCGCCTTCAAACTCTGAGGAAAGACAAGCGAGACAGCAGGTTGAAATTGGGTGCGTGCGTGCGTGGTATTTGTTCAGTTTCACAGTATTGCTCTGTCTCGCACCAAAGGAGGAAAACTGTACTCAAGAGAAGACGATAAGGGCTGCAAAACATTGTCGAGCTCGCTCATGCTATCGACTCGACGACTTTCTCGTCGTCTACTTCTACCTACATGCGCTCATTTGTTCGCTGACACAAAAATCTCTTCATTCTTCACAATTCAAAATGGTGGTTTTGACTTTTGGTTTGTTTCTTTCGATTAAGAATGCGTTGGGCAATAACGCAATTTTTCAGTAACGCGGTAATTGGGTCAAAATTGTTTCACCGAAGATGATTTAAGATCATTTCGAACATGGCCATTGAATGTGACCCCCTTAGGATTGCACTTCAGGAGTGTGAGCCACCCTGTGATTAAATGGCTGATCTCAAAACAGACTGAGGGCGGCAAAAACAAAAAAAAAAAACACTGCTACAAAGTGAAGACTGTTGTGTCATGCAGCAGTGTCAGTTTAGGCATTGCAAACAAGGTACGCTAACATTAGCGTGTTTATTTCTGTCATTTCAAGGAGACAAATTGCATTCAAGACGAGACTGAGGGCAGCCCCTCACTGCCCCGAAAAAAATGGAGCACTACAGTAAAATGGAGACTGCGGACTGTAATACGGCACCATCCCTCGCTGAGGCACAGCATACATAATGCTAATGTTAGCTTGTGTGTTTATTTGCCACTTCCAGGAGACAGCGAAACGGAGCGCTGCATCCAAGTGGAGACTGCGGATCCGAACGAAGCATGTGGACTGTGAGGCAAAGACCCGAACCACTACTGCACTCTGCTTGCCCCGAATAAATCTGCTACGTTAAACTGTATTTGCTGTGGCTGCACACTACTATTTCGCAGGGAATAAAGAAATACAGAGAGTCACAATTTAGTTTATTTCCCCCCCATTTTATCTATTGTTTGTGAATTAATGCAACATCATTCAAGCAGGATATTTGCGCCCTTCTGGCATCTAATAAGAAGTAACATCATTAAAACTTGGTCCAAATGGAGTTCAACGATCCGAAAGAGCGCGCGGTAGCTACCTTCCACGCTGTGCGGCTTAATGGAGTGTTTGTCACCGAGGGGAAGTGAGCTGCTTCCCTCTGACTAATACTGCTATAAACAGCAGCTGCGCGCTCCACATACGCCATTTGCTTACATTTTTAGCATTTTCTTTTTTGTTTCCGGCACATAGCATTGCAATAAATCATTCCCATTTGGAGGGTGGAAGAGGGACCAAAAAATAATTTTGCAGTGATTGCTATTTTGCGGAGGTGGTTCTCAAACTGAGGTTTCACGGATCCCCACAGGTCCACCACATCTAGCTAGCGTCTGCAGAATTATTTGGGATAAATTGCCCTGTGTCATTTTTTAAAAAGTACACACAGACTGTACAGACTAGGACGCCGGCGGGCACAGCAATAAAACAAACGATGTATTCCTCGCTAACTTACCTTTGGCCTGATTAAAAGCTCTTAGCTCATAAAATAACATCACTGAAATCTGATGCAGTTTTTTAAAGCATTAAAAACAGCTAAAAAAGGCCCACTTTTTTCTTCTCAAAAATATGCATTTGTTACTGTGACACATTTTTTCCCCTCGAAAATTTGGCAATATTTTAATTCCAATGATCTTTTGGGGGACCACACGGTACCGTGGTACCTTAAGATATGAGTGGCCCTCCATATGGATTTTTCGCCGAATGGCCGATTTTTGGCTTTGACTTGCAAGAGCAAAGTTGATCGTGTTGTAGCGTGGCAGGTGACTCACTTCACAACAAGCAACAGTTTGGCAGATGAGCAAATAGTCTTGGGGAAAAAAAAGAGCGTTCAAGATGCCACAGAGATAATTTTCGGCTGCATGTTGTGTTTAATACCATCCTACAACGGGACAAATAAGGCTAACAATTAGCATCCATGTTGTGGTGGTGGTGGTGTTTAAGCAACTGATATCTGAAAACAAACATTGCCGGACCAACACAGATAATACTCACAGACAGATATTCTTTATCCTCTGCAAAGCACAGCTGTTCTCCTGCTGAGATACTGCTCCCAGGTGACCAAGGTGCGCAGACCAGAATGAGCAGCCCAATATGCATTGAAGGAAAAAGTGTGACAAAAAAAAATTACTGAATGTTTTCATAAAGTTAAAAAAAAAATTATAAATCTTTTTTTCTCTCATTAAAGAACACATTGCAATTTTTGAGGGGCTTCAACTGATTAATGACATTTATATTCAATGGGGGAAGATGATTTGAGACACTTTTCAATTACGAACGTGGACATGGAACTAATTAACTAATTAAAGGCACCACTGTAGTTACGTTGAACTCATGTTGAGATCATGAGGGGGCTTCATGAAAAAGTAAGAGGCCACAAAAAGCCCCACACTTTGAGAAACTGTGTCTTCAGGAATGGCAGAAGCATTCAAGCATGGGTGTGAATATAGTATGCAAGCAATCTCACATCTGTATGAGCTGCAGGTCTGAGAGCATTCAAGATGACAAATACGACAGAAATAAAGCCGGCCGCTGGTGAGCCACCGCGATCGTAATGACAGCCGGGCTGGAACTAAACCAACCAGCCGTATCATTCTGTGGTATTTGTAAAATGGATTTTTTTTTTTAAGTGAATATAGCAAGATCATCCTGGAGAAGAACTTTATCCAAATCTTTCATCCTCTGAGCTCATATTTTATTTCAACATTTCACTGCCGCAATGCTCCAGGGCTTCTTCTTCCCGATGTCAATCATGTCAACTGGTCACTTACTGAATATCGGGCTGAAACTTCATTTGACCCAATGACTTCGAGGGGACATATTTCAAGGTGACTTTGGAATTGCTTCTATACCAATAGAGTGAAGCTTTGCATTACAAACTGAATGTTCTGTGACCCTGTTCACAAAATGAGGTAAAATATGTGTCGACTGAAGTGGGGGGGGGGGATGACCGTTCCAGCCTCCCACCCCCACGAAAAAAAAGTTTGTAATCAGTTTTAAATGAAAAAAAGTAGCACACTATAATACTGTACTTCATTAAAAAAACATTGTTATGGCCAAGCCAAATAGAATGTACAGAATTAAACTGTTTTTTATACATTTTGTGCTTCAACGCAATAGGTATTGTGCTGCTCCTTCTACTCAACACAATTGGCCACCTGGGGACGGTATAATACAATCATCGAGACATGAAACCTTTTGACAACTGATTGAGTAAATTACAATCAAATGTATCCACATGTGGCGGAACATATGGTCACATTGTAATGACTTATTTGAACGTATAAACTGTTTAGGTCGGTATAAAATGTCATTTGACCCATCATTGCATTTGGCACCCCCGGTTTCAAATTGAAGCCAAACGTCATCAGGCACTGCCCTGACATACCCCGTCCGCCCACCCCCTCCCGTTCATTTTTTTTTTCTTTCTCCGAGTCTGCTCGTTATCAAGCGTTGAGGGCAATTATTCTTCCCTCATCCACAACAAGCTGCTAAATATTCATGCCGACCCCCCGACGCTTTTACACGCCTCTAATGGGTACATTAGAGGCGCCCGCGGGCCTCCCGCCACCTGATAACAGGATGGGGGGGATAAGCGTGGCACACGAATGGGGCCAAGGGCACCTTAAGCAAAGCTCGCAGCTCGGGCAGCAGATGTTTGGCTTCGATGAGAACTTGACTTGTTTACCGTGCAGATGCTTCACTTCCGCTCCATGGCGTCACCGTTTAAAGAGAATCTCTTTGTGACGGACACACACCGTGCTAGGCGCTTAATAGAAAAGTACGTTGACGGTACGGTGGATTTCAGTTTGGAAAAGTGGACAACGTAACTCACCAAAGGCCAACCCGAGTCAAAACATTCCATTTGGGTTGCAGTGTCAACTTGAAAGCGTCCAATTGTTTTGCGCGAGAGCTCCCCCTACGGGTGGAGGGTGAAGGTTACAGAGTGTCAATCGGTGCTAACCTAAGTCTCTCAAACGCTTGATTTCAAAAGCTTTCGAACTTGCTGCATTAGCAGTAACGGAGCCAGCTGGTAGGCTGACTGGTTAACGCTACAGAAAGGGACGTGTGGTTGCCATGGCAATAAGTCCCTATTACGACGATTCATAACGATTTTTTTTAAATAGCACCTTTCAAGTAAACCATCAACAGTCGGATGCGATTACTTGAAAAGTAGCAATTGTTCCATATTATAAATACCGCCCCCCCCATTCCCCCAAAAATGAAGTGACAGCAGATTGAGTTTAAATAACATTTACTTTCTCTCTTTCTCTCACACAAAAATTACAAAGGTGACCATGGAAGAGAGACAGCAGTTACAATCAAGTCAATCGAGTTTTTGGACCGTGTCTCTCGGTCTTTTAACAACAAGCTGCAAATATCATTCAGAAGCACCGGACCAGAAGACATTCTGGCTGTGGAACATAAACATTTCGGGAAAAGAGAGAAAGGAATGAAAACTATTTACACAGCAAATAAAAAGACAGAGGTGGTGGCGGTGTCAAGGCTCAGGATAGTCAGTCGTCTTCTTGCAAGGAGGTAATGGGTTCTTCAGAATCAAACTGTTCACTTAAAGTAAAATACGTAAAAAAAAAAAAATTTTTAAAAAAACGCACTCAAAAAAAAAAAATATGGTGAATTGTTTGGACTGCCAGAGGACTTAAACGCTTAAAACCTGTCAAACGAAAAAACAAGCAGCGTGACTAGTGCGCTCCGAATGCATTCAACTCGTGAAAAGTGGGGGACAAGACAACTCCGCAGGTGCCAATCAAAGGACAAGTAAACGACATGAAACAAGCTCAGGAATACTTTTTTTTTCTCTACAGTTCTGTCAAGGCAGCCGTGTTGGGTGGAGTGCAAAGGAGAGGGGGGGGGGTGGACACACCATAAGACAGGTGGGGGCATTGAAAGGAAAAGACAAGAGTTGGGTGGTTTATGTTCACAACGAAGGCATCCCTTTATCTGAATAGTGTGGAAGACATCAGTTTCGGACTTCAGTGACATCATCAAAATACCGGCCAAACTATCTGCTTACACGCCAAACAAGGAGGAAAAAAAAAAAAAAAAACAAAAACAAAACAAATGACTTGATTAGCTTAACTTTGTAAGGTCCCTGCTGGTAAACATCATAAACTACCACCAACAAGAAATGTAAAGCGCTATTTTAAAAAACAAAATTAAAAAAAAAAAAAAAAAAATCAACACACTAAAATTATATGTACACAAACACAAAAAAGGAGTGGGGGCGGGGGGAAATTATAATTTCAACAGGAGATAATTGGAAGGACCTCCAGTCAGTGTTGATCTCGTCACATCCTGGCGCCATTTTGTGTTGTTTTCCCTTTTAGAAGATGCGCTTGCGCTTCAGGTAGGAGTCCGCGTAATGGCCGCCCAGACCTTGGGAATGCTGGCCCACATAGCCGCCCTCGGGGCTCGGCTCCGGAGACGGGATGAGGCGGGAGAAGACGCGCTTGTGGCTCCCGATGGGGGTCTAAAATGGGGAGGCGTTGAAGGGAAACTGAGTTCCTGGCATGAAAAAAATGAATTTGGAGGGGGCTGGATGCCGGTATCCTTTACTCCATCCAGTAAGGGGGGGGGGGGGGGGGGGGGGGGGGGGGGTGATGCCATGTCAGCAATTTCTTACCTTCTCTGGGTTTGGTTCAAGTGGCAAAGGTGGAAAAATATCCCTGACGTAGCCATTTCTTTGGTGCTAGACACGTTTGAAGCGTTGGCGTGACCCGGTTTAAAACGTTGAATCATGGGAATTTTCCCCGTGTGTAAGATTTGCTTAAAGTAAACAATTCAGTCCCAAACTTCTGCCACTGTCACAAAAAAATCAACTTTCAAACTCTCATTATTGTTGCAGGTATACGAGTTTAAAACTTCTTGAAGCGGGGAGTTATTAAATTGTAAATTAGCTCTCCAAGTACCACCTTGTCTGGAGCAAACACACTTGTGATCCCTACTGGTAGGGTGTCCTAATTTCCAAGTCAAACACTTTTCAATCATGATTTATTATTATTATTTTTAGGTGTTGCATGGGTCTGTGCTCTTCTATACTTCTCATGATATAAAAAGGGGGTTACCTTCATTGTGTTGACAAGTCCTGGAGGGTAGCCAGAGGTGTGGCTCACAGGAGGCATCCCCACGGCCTGGGGGGGGGGGGGGAAAAATACTTTGACTGGGCGTGCTTTAGTACACAATCTTCTGTAGTGGTGATTGAACATTGGCCTTTTTCTTTGCTACAGCCTCCCTCCGCACGCACACATGAAAATCAATAGCGCTACATTAAAGAGAAGGCTTTAAAAAAAATAAAGAAATAAAAAGTGACATCGGCTCGAGACTCACCCTGTTAAGCTGGCTGGGAGGCAGGCAGCCATTAGCGGAGGCGTCCGAGCTGAAATACGAGGACGGGGGCGGGCTGGGCGGCAAAGTGAAGTGGGGCTGGTTCAAGTCTGACGGATGAGAGAGCTGTCCAAACCAGAAAAAAAAGGTGGCGTCGTTTGTCACACTTCGGCCACGGTGCCATAAATTTCATCTCATCAGATAATTCAGGAAGGGGGTGGGGGGGAAATCTACCTGCTGTCCGAAGCATGTCGAGTCACCCATGTGGTGATTCTCTTGCTCCTCGTACAAGTGCTGCAGCTGCTCCTGACCACAAAACACCATGTTGAAGAACTCGGCTAATGACTAAACGGTTGCAGAAAAGATCCAACATGGAGGATGTCAAACGCAAGCGACAAGCGCAACGTTTTGAATTGGAAGTGACGGTATATACACCCCATTTTGTACTGCGCTTACTCGGTGAAGAGGAGGATATTCTGCATTGTAAGAGTCCTGGTAGCGCAGATTGTAGCTGGGGTGCATGGCGAGGTGTTGGTTGGACACATTACTTAGCGTGGGTCTCTTCCTGTATGGGTGAGGTCTGCAGTTGGCTCCTGGGGAGGACCGCGAGCCAATGTGGAGGGAGGCGGCCATCAGACACCGAGACTCTTTTGAGAGGAACGTTTGGACAGACGGGCTCGACTCACCTGAGGGAAACGCATTGTTGGCGGGGAGAAAGGAAGTCTGGGGAGGTGTCACATCTTTGGTTGGGTCTCCCAGCATGGAGACCTGGTGTGGGGGGGAGATGAACTCCAATTAACAACTCATTCAGTACCAGCCAATTCTAGACCAAGTCTGAAAAGACGTTTAAAAACGTCTTTGGGAGTGAATGGGTTAATGCGAAGACACTAAGATTCCTGAATCCTAATTAACACGTTGTTTTGTTTTGTAGCTGCTATTATTTCAAAGAGAATTGTCGATTTTGTGGAGCTTGGCTGTACGTGAAAGGAATCCATTTCTGGCACCGTCGCTGTGTTTTAGAATTAACCATTGGACTCTTCACAGAACTGATGCATCGAATATAGACTCAAAAGTATTACATTGGAAAATGTTCTATTTTTAACAGAGGCCATTTCAAATTGCGCATCGGGTGGTTGAGCGTCGACACGAGAGGGAGATGACAGAAGATTAAACGGCCAAATGAGGCGTCGAGTTCCGTGGGGTTGCCGGGGCGGTGAGGCCTCACCGCTCGCGCCGCGAGGCCGTCTGGCGCCATCATGCCGCCCAGCAGCGGCACAGACAGACCCTGCAGAGTGGGAGAGGGAGTCTGCGGGAAGCCGGGGGACTCCTGATCCCTTGCCATCGCTCGGCTCAGAGGCGCCTGCTTCAATGCGGGTAGGGGGTCCAGACCTGAGACGACACCACCTGTGTGTTATAGTACGGGGAAGAAAAATACAAAACAAAAACAGACCTTTTCATTTTAGAAATTAATCCATGCGGGGGTGGTGGGGGGGGTGACATTGGGGGCTGTGTCGGACCTTGAGGCAGATCTCCCAGCAGATGGATTCCCTGCTGGACGGGCAGTGGGGCCAGAGGAGTCTCGGGCAGGAGTCCTGCCTGCTGGGCAGAGGAGAGAAAGAGCAGAGCCTGAGTGGCAAGGGAAGGTCACACGCTGTCCAGCTGTGGTAAAAGCACTCAAAACTCACACACCACGCAAAAAAAAAAAAAAAAAACACACGGAACCAGTCCATCCTGTACAGCACTCACCGCCATTTTGTTAGCTTGTAGCACTTTATACCGATTGTATCGCGACGAGTCAATTAAAAATCCATACCATCAAGGTATGATTCAAATGCACTCCCCAGTCAACTTTAGGTACACCAGCTAAATTGCCAAACCTGGAAAATAATACCGTGACAAGATCTTTGCTCATTCAGACAGTAAGCGAATGTGTTTGTGCTTAATGGAAATATAGAAAGCTCTATTAATAATGATATTTAAGATATTATATTTGTCTAATGTAATAATTTAATTATTAAATTCCATTTAAAATATGAATAATCAAATTCAAAATTTAATAATAATAAATTTAATATAATAATAATAATTAATTACCATTGTTGGGAATTTCTCCATTGTGAGACAAATAAAGGCTTTTTTCTTATCTTAATGCTTTTCATGGCAAATTTGCTCCACAATTTTTTTTTTCTGTATGCGTGTTACAAACAAACAAACAAACCTTCGGCTGTTACAATACTACGGTTGCCCGTTTGCTTTTGTAGCAAACGTGAGCGATCTAATGCATGCTGTAATAGCGACATCTACGACTCCCAGCTCTCTCATGCCGATCAATGGAGACTTCCGCACCTCTCTCATCTACAACAGCTTCTATCAACATGTGCAACATGAGGGAATAAAAAACGCGACACCACCGGGATGCAAAGTGCCAATGTGAAGGGAGCCGTAGTTTATTTTAAATTGAGAAGCCTTTTTTTTGTAAAGGTTGTTTTATTATTATTATTTTTCATGGTTTTATTATTATTATTTTACATGGCGTGTACAGCTGCGGCTGTTGTGAAAGCGCTCCGTAAAGCTTGAGAAGCATTTGCAATTGCACCGATGGATTTGTTGTGAAGCTAAATAAGCTAAACGCCTCAATCAGACGCACGTGACACGAACTTCTCTCGAAAAATCAGCATTCTCATCTTTCATCGCGCTTGTTTTTGATCTCATTAGACGCAGCAGGCGTACCTAATGAAGCAGCGGGTGAGCACATGTTCCAAGTTTGTTACGGGAAGGTGTTTTGGGGGTGTGAATGGGAAGAAAGCACTTCACACGGTCAGCCACAAACACCATTAGCACTCACACAGGGTACTAGAGGGCCTTTGTGACCGTACAGCACCTGAGCCCAAAGAAGAGGATTTCCCAAAAAGGCTTGCTGAAGGAAAAGTGGGAAGGAGAGGAGGGAATGAGTGTGTTGTAAGGATGAATCAAAACCGTCTGAGTGCTTAAGGGTCGAGAAGTCGGGATGAGAGGGGAAAAAAAAAAAAAAAGGCTGTTGGCACCTGCTGGGCTTTCGCCTGATTTTGGAGCAGCAACTGGAGCAGCATGGCAGGGAGGGCCGGGTTGGCCAGCAGCGGCATGGAGGGGGCCGCCCCGAGGAGACCTGTGCAGCGGGACGTCAGGCGTGGCGGTGCAAACGGAGATAAAAGTCGGAGGAAGCGTTCGTCACCTTGTTTGTGGCTCTGCGACAAAGGGTTGAGCAGCATCTGGAGGGCGGCCGGGTTGTTGAGACCCGAGAGGATCTGCATGGCGGTGGGATCCGGAAGGAGACCCTTGCCCCTGTTCACAGACTGTGAGGGGGTTGGATCATTAGATCGTGCTCACATAAACAACGAAATCTTTGTCTAGATAAAACAAAGTTTTGAAAAATAAGTTCTGAACGAAGTGGAGGTCAACCGGGATTCCCTATGCACTGACTGCAGCCAACTTTCGAGGCTACACTGTGTCAAAAAGTGGGTCTGGTGCACTTACCATGGTCTGGGCTGCGATCAAAGCGGCGAGCATGCTCCGGCCGGGTGGACCGGGGGCACAGAAGGACGCTCTGATGTGCGTGCCGCCCAGCAAACGGCCATCTGACAGCTGCTGAGCTTCCTCGGCCATCTCAGCCGTGGCAAACTCCAACACGGCGAAGCGCCGGAAACTTCCATCTTGTCCCTGAGCCAACTACGAGGGGAGAGGTGGAGGCACAGGTCATTTCAAAACAAAATCTACAAGCAACCACTCCCCCTTGAATATGTGCTTGTTTAAAAAAAAAAAAAAAAAAAAAAAAAGGCGAGTAAGCCAGCCTTGCCTTTGTTCAGCTTTGTCACACACACACAATGAAACACTGCCGTCGTACCACAAGAGATCAGTGCATGAATACACGAGTACCACAGTAGTTACAATTGTGAAAATTAAAACTACAATGACCCCCATTCCACCATTTTTTTTTAATCTCAATTTGTAGAATGAACACTAAAAAGACACCAGAAAATGAGCGACCACGCGTGCTCAAAAGAGATATACTCTGCCATTCCAGAAACGTCTGCTGAATGACACCACCTGGGGGTGTCAGGGGGTCATCACCATGGAAACCAGCAACGGCCACAAGCAATCTGAGCTAAAGGTGATTGGCAGTGAGAGATACACATGGACTCCTCCCGCCCCCCTCTCTCGGCCACCACACAACATCCTCTTCCATTAGGTCAAATGTACACTTTTTTTGGTCTTTCCATGTGAAAAAAAACATTTAAACATTTAGCTGCCAATCAAGGGCATTCCAAAGCAGCAAGTGGCGCCATTACCCCGAATAGCGAATGAGTTGGCACAAATGAACAACAATGCCATATGATGCAACACATTTCTGGAATGTTTAACTTCTATGGCAGCCTAGAAATACTGAACGGTGATAGAATCCATCACTTGTGTGACTATGAACCGCAGTTTTACTTTAACTGGCATTTCTGAACGAATGGTAACGTTCAAGAACGGGAAAGCCGGACTGTATCCGAAGGATTGGGGGAGAAAATATTTTGGAGAAGTGGCAGTTCATGAGATAAACTACACCACAACACGCCAGCTGTCAAATCTACTCAAGCGCATAAATATCACTGTCCAAATACTTGTCAGTCACCGTGGAGTGGTAGGGGGTTCCAAACATTCTAATGTTGCATCACTGCATCAATGTGCGGCAAGTCTGACCTGACAGAAAACCGGTGGGTGGGCATCAGCCAGCGCGTTGCGGAGGTCTTGGGGGGTCACGGCACTCTGAGGCAGCCGGTCCACACAGAGACACTTAGAGTGCAGCAGCGGGTATGTGAGCGAGCCCACCTCGGTCCAGTGCACGTAAAGCATGCGCGAGCCCAGCTGCTTCCCGAGCAGCTCCGACTTAGCCCGGGCCGCCGAGTCCTTCTTCATGTACTCCACAAAGCCGTAGCCCTTGGAGTGGCCGCTGGATGCCCGGTACACCAAGAAGCAGCGCTCCAGGTTACCGAAGGGGCGCACCAGCTCCTCGAACTGCTGCTGAGTAAAGGAGCGCGGCAGGTTGGCGATACAAAGCAGGGCGTCGGTGGGCTGCAGCTGCACGGAGATGTCCCGATCGCGGAGAGCATGCTGGTGGAACTCCTTGATGGCACTTTGCGCCTGCTCGCCGTTGAGCAGCGTCACAAAGGCTGTCGGGCGAGGGAGATGATGAAAATGTTAGTCGAGCTACAAAGCTAATATTGAACTTGGGGAGCGCAATATGGCTTTACAATATATTCATTCGGATGTTCTAAACTTTCACGTGCAGATTTTATTTATTTAATTTTGAAGTACACAGATGACCAACCTGTGCCCTTATATTTGTCTACGAAGCAGTACTTCAGGTCATAGTTGGCCAGCAGATCATGAACCTCCTGGAATAGAAAGAGCAAAATAAATAAACAAAAGAAATATTAATAAATACATTAACTAATGAAAATTTAAAAAAATGCAAATACCCCCATAAATAAATCTACATTCTGGTGTAAGACGCTGGCCGTCTTAATTTAATTCTTTATTTTCAGATCGTGATCCGTGGGGATAAAGTAGGTTGCTGGGAAGGGGCGACGGGGTCTACCGAGGACAATGGCAGACTCTGTTGGGAGGAGAAAATTGTTCGACGTTGCGTTTGTCCATTCACAACCGAACGGCGATGCTGTCGAGCAATTTCTGAAGCGTTTTGTCCGCACGCCTTCCACCTTTTGTTTGAACGCAACTCGCATCTCGAAACCCCACCAACTACTAACACCCCCCTTTTCCCGAACAATGGTATCACCCGCAGGCCCCACTGCTCCCCACGAGTCACGCACGTTCCAAAACAGGGGGAGGAGGGAGAATAGCACAATATGGCATCCTAAGTTTTATCAGACCGAATGGTGTGGTTAAAATTTGACACTGGGCCAACGTAAAAATAATATAAATGTATACGTTGGGTGTTACTAATCCATAACCGTGACAGGGACCGTTGTTTAATGAAATTAAATTCCCGGCGTGTACACTGGCGAGGCCTGACGGCTCAAACCACACTTGACAGTTATCAGTCCGGCTGGGCGTTCATTAAGTTAAACACGAACGCATTACTACAAGTATAATGTACAACCATTTACTTAATTCGTACTGTAAAGTGTGGCTGGTTTAAGAGGGGCGGTTCAATATGGGCAAAAGGGTGCAAATTAACATTAATAAACTACCTTATGTTCATTGGCCAGAAGGCTAACAAGAGTAGCGTGGCACAGCTAGGTTAACACTGACTCTCCAAACAACCCCTGTCACTTCAATCACTAAAAGTTTTCATCCTTGCCTGATTGCTGACGTCACACGGCAGATTTTTGATGATAATCTTCCTGCGGTTGTAAAACTCCCGCCGAGTTCTCTCCAGGCGGCTCTGAATCTCTTGGGGGCTCAGCGTTGTTAAGTCTTCGTCGGCCCTCCGCTGACCCTCGCGTCCCACTGTCGGGACCTCTTCGCCGGCTTCGAGCTCCGAATGCCGGCGCTCTCCGAGCCTCCACTTTTCGCGATCGGTGGGTGCAGCGTGGTCGTACTTTTCGTGGAGCGGACGGGCGACGAAGCCGAGCGCTGCGTCTGTGCTTTCTTCTTTGGCGTTTGTACTCACAGACACGATGGCCGCCATCGCTCGACTTGTTGGAAGTTTTGGTTGTGCTGGAAAAGCCAGTCGCATTTGAGCAGTTTAAACAATACACACATGGGTCAATCGCCGTCTCTGATTGGACGAGGGCTACGTGACGTCATTAGGTGGGGTTACGGGTGTTTGTGAACTGCGCAAACCGGAAAGACCCAAAGTGAAAATCGTACTTAAAAAAAATATATCTTTTAAAGTTCTGACCAATGTTTTTATTCATTTACCTGATTTATATTATTTCCGTGTTTAACGAAAATATATATTTGGTAGTCCTTTTTATAAGGCTCACTGTTTAACGAGTGTGTCAGGTGTGTGCTGAAAAATGTCAATAAATTATTCAATGCTAATTAAACAAAAACCTCCTCATAACTCTTACAAGTGTATACCTACATTTGCACTGCCGGTATTAAGGGGAATTTTCATTTCAAGGTTGTCTGCACCATTTCGCTTTGTGTAAATTTCCAGCTTGTTGAAAAGGGAGAAGTAGCCTTATGATGCAAAAAAAAATGAGCACGTCCCCTTGTGTACTCCACCACACCACACAGGGACTTAAACAAACAAGAAAGCTCCTCAAAGCCACTTTCATATAATTTCAGAACTGCTGATAAGAGGCGGACGTCCTCAGGGACACTTCTGGAAACATTTGACTGTAGAAGCTGGGTCCAAATTATCCCAAAGATATTGCTGGTGCCAACAATTGTGAATGTGCATTGCATTATGCAATGGTGAAAAAAAGGGAAACCCCAATACATTACATGTTTATTTATTTATATAGCACTTTCACAACAGCTGCAGCTGTAACAAAGCGCTTTACAGAACAGTTATATAGTCAATAAAAAAATATGCTAATATAACACAATACATTAGACATGGACAGCCATGAAATCATAACCATAGTCCAGCATACACCTTGTTGTTTGAAGCAGTTATTGATGAAAGAGCAGAGATTCAAAGTGTCCTTTCACCAGTGGATCAGAGACCTCGTGCTCTAAACGTGCACACGTCTGCCACAAGCTAAGTTTGAAAGTAAACGAGAAGCCGTAGCTTCCATTCACAAGAAAAAAGATTGGTTCACTTCTCCTGTCCCATGTGAGTCTACTTCAACTCCAAGCGCTGACTCTCAGGTCCAAATACGCATCCGCGCTTCACGCCAACATTCCTCTCCCCTCATCTTCAGCTACAGGAGCCATCCATCCAGCCGCACCAACGCAGACTGTCCAACAGCACCGACATCTCCGCTGAACAAAACGGGGCTGTGAAAAATGCTGCCAATTGCATACGCAAAAAACGCTGTCAAACAGCAACGGTCAAATAGCACAGACATTCATCTCCATCAAAATCAGTGCTGGTACACACGTGCTTCCGAGAAGGCGCAACCATCAAGCGCAAATTCTTCCTGCGACAAACGTCATGTACAAAATGCTGAAAACAGTCTACAAAGGGCAAGAAACACCCTCTGACAAATGAAAAGACAAAAACAACAAAAAAGCAGAGCTCTTCGCAGACGGCTGCCAACTACAGCGCCATATTTGTTAAACCCGTAAATTATTTAATGGTTTGTTTAAAAAAAAAAAAAAAAAACAATGAAATGCAAAATGTTACAACCCTGTAAAATGTACAACAATTCAACAACCAATACTTGCAAGTTGACAGTATTTCGGTCTATGGACCTTTTCCTTCCTGATGTTCCTTGTTCATCATAATGACACACAACTCTAATTGCCCCACGGGGATAAATAAAGTTTTCTGAATCTGAATCTGAATACCACAATTGGAGTAAGCTGCCATTTGTAAAAGTATTCCTAAGTGGTACTCAAGCAAGTAGATTGAAGTCCAGATCGAAAAAAGTCAACACTTGGTTGTGAGCGAATGGCTTCCAGCTGCTCAAAGAGGGAATGAAACGATGGCCTTTCTGCAGGATCTTGATCCCAGCACTGCAGGGTCAGACTCCTCAGCTGTTCTCGGGAAATAAAGAGAGTATTATCAACACCCGTTAGAGCTCTAAAATAGATGTCATGATATTTGTTACCTCAGACGGGCAGTCTGCGGGACAAGGCAAGCGCTGCCACCGCTCCAACAAGCTGATGAGCACATTTACGTTCATCTCTCTGGGGGATAACCCCGCCATCTTGCCAAACTTCTACAAAACGGAGGACATGGTGCGTTTAAATTGGAGGCACGTGCAAATTTGCGTTTTTTTTTTTTTTTAGCGCTGGCACCAGGAGGCCAAAGACGGCATTACCACTGGCGGGCTTTGGCTCGGGTCGCAACGGGTCAGGATCTCATACAGCGTCACGCCAAAGGACCAAACATCGGAGCGAAATGAAAATTTGTTCAGTTTCAGGCACTCAAGGGCATACCTGTAAAGGATATACCACAAAGTATTAAATAACTGCCATAATGGTGATTTTGTGTGTGTGTGTGTGTGTGTGTGTGTGTGTGTTACAAACTCACCAGAACACTGGACTGTCACCGTCTTCCGACACACGGTAATAGGTGTCATTCTCAGGGACTTTGGCTCGGGTCGCAACGGGTCAGGATCTCATACAGCGTCACGCCAAAGGACCAAACATCGGAGCGAAATGAAAATTTGTTCAGTTTCAGGCACTCAAGGGCATACCTGTAAAGGATATACCACAAAGTATTAAATAACTGCCATAATGGTGATTTTGTGTGTGTGTGTGTGTGTGTGTGTGTGTGTGTGTGTGTGTGTGTGTGTGTGTGTGTGTGTGTGTGTGTTACAAACTCACCAGAACACTGGACTGTCACCGTCTTCCGACACACGGTAATAGGTGTCATTCTCAGGGATATATTTGGACAGGCCAAAGTCGGCGATCTTCACCAAACTGTCGTTTTTCACTAAGATGTTACGTGCAGCGAGATCCCGATGGATGTACCGCTTTGAGTGCAAGTATTCCATCCCCTAGGAAAACACATGAGATGAAATATGGTGACTTGTCAGACAGTATATTACAGACCAAATAACCCAAGGGCAAAAGAGATTTTCTTTGACCCTGTGAGCGCCGTTGATGTGAAATGCTGTCAACGGGAACCCTAAAGAGGAGTGCGTTCAATGTCAGTTGCCATCAACGAATTTTTCGTGGGAATGGCCGGAAAGTGTTGGCCAATTCTGGTTTGATCTTTAAAATGGGAAAGTTTAAAAGAAAAAAAGAACTATGGCCAGCCGATGGCAACATTGAGTCTCTTTTGAATGAGATCACCCTGTATAAAAATAATGCTTGGAGCTGTTAACATGGCAGACCTCTGGAAAGTGTTTTGTCATGCTAAACCTGCTAAAAAGAGTGTCGCAAAAGAAGTAAAAGATGACAGAAATTATTTTCGTGTGAAAATAGAAATGACCACATTATATACATACACACATGCATGGCACAATACACTCACACACTCCTAAATATTGCTACTCCTAAATAGCATGCGAATAGTACAGTTTGTCGAATGTAAAACTGTTACACTGGTGAATATTTGTATATACATTATGTTGCCCATTTTCGTTGATTTTGTTGGTATTTTATTGAAGAAAACAACTGTCCATATGTTTGAGGGGGGAAAAAAAGCAAAATAATTAGTATAAAAGTCACTGTTGTGCAAAACACATCTTTTAACAAATCACTTGTTTTCTACATAATTTGGTGCAAAAGAGTTGATTTGGGTGAAACCAACCCATTTACTAGTGTTGATTGCTAAAAAATGGCACAAACTGTTTTTTTTGCGATTAAAAAGAGTCACATTTTTCGCAATTAAAAAGACTCACATTTTACATTTGATAGTTTCTGTTTTTACGTAGTCACTAAACAATATTCTGTAAGCCTTGGAAGATCACTCAGAGTGCTCGAGATGGGTTGGCACTCAATTGTTTTTTTTTTTTATATGGCTGACATTGAAAGAGCTAAGAGGTCATCGTGAATCCATTTAAACGACACTGAACTTTCTTCTTTAACGCACGGAACTCTGGCATCTTGTGCTCAAAATGAAATGCTCACTTCCACACAACAGGCATGACAGCCACAAACATCCTGAACGAGGCCGCGCAGCCAAAACGAAGTAAACAGCTCACCTGGCAGATCTGCTGAGCAAACAGCAGGCACTGGGATGTACTTTTCTCTTGTTTTTGAAGGTATTTTTCCAGGCTGCCAAACGGAAGGAACTCCATTATGAGCTGCACCACTTGTCCTCCTGTAAGAGAAGTTCAGAAATCTTGTGTTTAGGAATGTCCAAGTTTCTGGAGCTGTTTCTATTCATTTCATTTCAAATCTGTTTCTATTCGGAATCCGATTAGCATCAGACAGCTGAGGATTCACCCATTTCAGTGCAGCATCCTTTGTACTTGACGATGTTGGTGTGATCGAAGAACTTGAGGGTCTCAATCTCCTTCAGCCAGTATTTGGGCAAAGGACCGTTCTCTTGTTTCAAAGACTTGACGGCCACGAGCTCCCCCGTGCCGTCGTTGGCGGGGTCGTACATGTACAGTGTCACCATTCCAAAATTACCCTAAAGGCGGGACGACATGAGCCATTAGTTTCAGCGACGCCGATGGGAGCAAAAAAGTCATTCGGAGATGAAGTCACCTTTCCGAGGATGTTCTTCTTTTTCAGGTGCCGCTTGAGAAAGACGGTGGAGTGAGCCTGAGGAAGTGTTTCGCTGGGGGATATATCGGGATCTGAGCAGAAGATAAGACACATGAAACGCCAAGACTCGTCGTCATGTCAAGTTGAAAATCTTCGGCGCCGCACTTTTTATCATGATGTCAATAAGATCTCTGAGCAACGAGCAGAAGTGAGGCCTTTCCAAGGGCTCGTAGGAGAGACACTTGTTGATGAAGACGGCCAGGTCCCGGGAGGACGGCTCCAACAACTTGCCCTTTTGCTGATAGAAGCGCTCTTTCTATGGAAAGGAGACGGATGGAGGTGATTCGATTCGTAGCAGACACGATATCCTGTAGCGTGACAGCTCGGGGGGCGGAGGGCCGACCTCCGGCAGCGTGGCGTCGCTCATGGGGAGATGGCCGTCGTTGCAGATTTCCAGCAGCGTGACGCCGAAGCTCCACTGGTCGGCGCCGATGCCGACGGGCGCCTTGCTGTAAACGCACTCGGGAGCGATCCAGGGAATACGCTCGAGTCGCTCTGGGGCAAGAGGGCGATGACATACAAGCACTTATTGGGATTTGAGATATGAGACTTTTGCTGTATTTATTGATCATTTGATTTACCGTATTGGCCCAAATATAAGACGGTGTTTTTTGCATTGAAATAGACTGAAAAAGTGGAGGTCGTCTTATATTCGGGGTCTAGACGTTATACCCATTCACGACGCTAGATGGCGCCAGATATCATTGAAGCGAATGCTGAACTTGACTCCCCAGGCCAAAGTGAACCCCTGCCACGAAGAATAAAAATAGCGGTAGCACGAAAAATAAAAATAAAAAATAGTGGTAAGAAGGAAAAGAGAAGAAAATAATAGAAGAGATGACAGAAAATGGAGAAACGTAGTGACAATCTGGAGAAAAGTCGGTCGCAGATCTGCCAGGTTAACCAGCAGCTGAGGAGAAGTTATGATGTAATTTACATTTCAAAAACCAGAAGCCATTCATTTACGAATGTGATTGCACTTTAGATTTGAATGAGGCAAAATAACATGCTTTTTCTCTCAAATATATTGTTATAATCATTGGTTTCAGATGTACTGTAATTATTTTCTGTATAAAAATTAATTTGGTGTTCAAAAAGTCTTTTTTCAAACTTGAGTCTTGAAAAAGAGGGGGTCGTCTTATAATCAGGGTCGTCTTATATTCGGGCCAATACGGTATTAATGCGGCAGTACACATTTTTTAAAACTTAATTTACAAGTTTATTCGGGACAGAGCCGGCAGTAACGAATATCTATAAGTGAGATTTGTAATAAGCTCCTTGCACATACTATAGCGCCATGACATCATATCCGTTGCAGATCATATGGTTTATCCTCTTCCCGTTTGCCTATTTCAATTCACACTCGTAGATTGTAGTACGCTTTAAAATGATTTCAAATCAGAACATTTTGAAATAGATTTCAATCACCCTGTCGTGAGCTATGGTACTGACCTTCCTGGCACAGGATATTGACGGCAATGCCCGGGTCGCTCAGCTTGACTAAAGGAGACGTGCCTTGCTCCAGACCTCGCCTCGCCACCAGGACGTTCCTGCCGCAAACGTTTCCGTGGGTGACGCCTTTTGTCGCCTACAAGAATGCAGATCTCATTGGGGTTAGGTACCGGTCAAGATATGTCATGTATGCACACTGGAAGCGAGAAGCTATCCACTGTAGTAACCGCTGTCCCCGAAAGGGTTAAAGTGACAGATATTGACTTCGGCAAGTCGAAAGCGTACAAAGCAAGTGCAACTTACGAGGTAATTCAGGGCATTGGCAAGTTGTTTGGCCACGATAAATTTCCAGCGAGGCGTCAATTTGGCTTTTTCTCTGCAAAGGAAAACGTCCAAAGGCCCAAATTCCACAAACTCCTCCACCATGATGTCTGCAAAGGAAGGCGCAAGAGCTTCACTTTAATTGCTCCCACATCAACCTCTATTGATCAGACCTACGAGAAGATCAATATGAGCATCGTAGGATGAACCGAGTGCTTTGCTTTGCCTCTGTGTTAATCATTTTATTTATTTATTTTTTCTCCGTAAGGGTGAAAAGCAGCGGTGTCAAACTCGTTTTTTGTCACGGGCCACATTGTAGTTACGGTTTCCCTTGGAGGGCCGTTATGAATTTGGAGAAACCATATAAATGTTTAATCCCCTCCACATATTACATACACAGTAGGGTGGTCCATTTTGGAAAAGTTTGTCGGATTCGTCGGGCCGGGTCGGAAATCTTGTCGATACTATGACACAAGGATGTGTGCAAAATTTTATTCCGATCGGATAATTTTATCCCGTCCCGCAGAGCGACCAAAGTTTCCCCTATGGAAAGAATGTTACGGGGCTGAATGGTAGTACGGTTTCTCCCGTACAGTAAAGATTTTGTTTTGCTCAGTTCGCACTTGCAATAATTCAAAGACGGAAGACAGGAACGCATGTATTGCAAAAAAGGCAACCGTGGTTATCCTTCAACACTGGTGAGATTGTTGGTCCATGTTAACTGGTCCATCTGTCTATCTGTACATCTGTCTACATCGCGCGACTGTCTGGAAGTGATCCGATCCGTTTTGCATTTTTTTCAGGCCGGGAGTGGTGC